AGCTTTTTCATATTTCCCCACTGCCGCAGCAGTGCCCGCTCCCGCAGGAGCTTTTCCATTTTTTCCCCACTGCCGCAGCAGTTCCCGCTCCCGCAGGAGTTTTTTCCATATTTCCCCACTGCCGCAGCAGTGCCCGCTCCCGCAGGAGTTTTCCATATTTCCCCACTGCCGCAGCAGTGCCCGCTCCCGCAGGAGCTTTTCCATATTTCCCCACTGCCGCAGCAGTTCCCGCTCCCGCAGGAGTTTTTTCCATATTTCCCCACTGCCGCAGCAGTGCCCGCTCCCGCAGGAGCTTTTCCATTTTTTCCCCACTGCCGCAGCAGTTCCCGCTCCCGCAGGAGCTTTTCCATTTTTTCCCCACTGCCGCAGCAGTTCCCGCTCCCGCAGGAGCTTTTCCATTTTTTCCCCACTGCCGCAGCAGTTCCCGCTCCCGCAGGAGTTTTTTCCATATTTCCCCACTGCCGCAGCAGTGCCCGCTCCCGCAGGAGCTCTTCCATATTTCCCCACTGCCGCAGCAGTGCCCGCTCCCGCAAGGAGCTTTTCCATATTTCCCCACTGCCGCAGCAGTTCCCACTCCCGTAGGAGCCTCTTTCCGTATTTCCCCACTGCCGCAGCAGTCCCTACTCCCGCAGGAGCTCTTCCATATTTCCCCACTGCCGCAACAGTCCCGCTCCCACAGGAGCTTTTCCATATTTCCCCACTGCCGCAGCAGTGCCCGCTCCTGCAGGAGCTCTTCCATATTTCCCCACTGCCGCAGCAGTGCCCGCTCCCGCAGGAGCTTTTCCATATTTCCCCACTGCCACAGCATGCCCGCTCCCGCAGGAGCTTTCCATATTTCCCCACTGCCGCAGCAGTGCCCGCTCCCGCAGGAGCTTTCCATATTTCCCCACTGCCGCAGCAGTGCCCGCTCCCGCAGGAGCTTTCCATATTTCCCCACTGCCATATTTCCCCACTGCTGCAGCAGTTCCCGCTCCCGCAGGAGCTCTTCCATATTTCCCCACTGCTGCAGCAGTTCCCCCTCCCGCAGGAGCCTTTGTCTGTATTTTACTCTGCCGCAGCAGTGCTTGCTTTTTCTCCATTTTCTCTTTTCAGACGCCGTAGCAGTTCCCACTCCCACAGGAGTTTTCTTTTCAGATGCCGCAGCAGCGGCCGCTTCCGCAGAAGCCACTTTCTCTTTTCAGATGCCGTAGCAGTTCCCACTCCCACAGGAGTTTTCTTTTCAGATGCCGCAGCAGCGCCCGCTTCAGCAGAAGCCTCTAGTTCTGTCTTCTAAAGCCTCAGCAGTGCTGCTACTACAAACGATGTCCAGCACCCCACCAATTTTAAGCTTTGTAAATTTTGGGGGGTTATCAACGCTCCTCTCTGGCTACTGTCCCGTACTAATTGCATCTTTGGGGGAGCGCTCTGGGTCCGGGCTTAGACCTGAGCTCGGACCCCTCTCCCCGGACAGGGGGAGTACCCCGGGCTCAAGAGTAATTACCGAGCTCGGAGCCCTCTCCCCGGACACCACGCCAAATACTCATAACCTTTACTCTATTCATTATATGTAAGTGTGAACTCGTGAAGTGATGTTTTATTAACAAATTTCGGGAGGGGAGCGCTCTGGGTCCGGGCTTAGACCCGAGCTCGGACCGCTCTCCCCGGACAGGGGGAGTACCCCGGGCTCGAGAGTAATTACCGAGCTCGGAGCCCTCTCCCCGGACAGCACGCCAAATACGCATAACCTTTACTCTGTTCATTATATGTAAGTGTGAACTCGTGAAAAAGTAACTTTAAAAAAATCAATATGGTGTTTAACCTGATTAAGGTCTATGGTGAGAGATTATCATCTTTTCAGTGTACTATTTCTTTAACATCGCTGTTTCTATGTGAAATATCTCTTATGACTTTCACAGCAGCCCTGGTAAGTGACATCAAAAACCAACTCCTAGCCATTTGAAGCATGAAAATCATGCTTGAAAAAAATTTGATTTGAGTTGATCATTCAGTCTTTCTAGACAGAAATTAATTGAATGGAGTAAGCTGCGTTCAGCCCAGCTGCTGACTCAGAACCTGTCCACATCCAAATGTCAATGTGCTGATGGATAAGTCTGCAGTCAAACACAAGTGACTGATACCGGTGCAAACAAAGGCATTGATGGAGGCAGTCCTCCTCAGAAGTACTCAATTCTTGCCTTTAAATGCCAGACATAATAATGGAGCACTCTGAGTCATCTTGTTTTTGGATTATTCTGAGATGCTAGTTTCCAAGAAGGCTGAACTACTTTTACTGAATGCCACATTGCAAACCTTGTAAATGACTGTAGATATGCGCCCATGATTGATCTATTGTGACATATCGCATCATTCAACACAAATGTATAATCTAACAATTAGGTTAAAGACACCCTGTCATTATATATATATATATATGTGTGTGTGTGTTGGCCCAAAATTTATATTGAAAATAATTTAAATAATTCTAAATATTTTTTATATTAGTTTTATAACATTTAAAAAAATGCTTATGTAAAAACACCAAATCTGACAAGCCTAACAATTTTGCTAACATTTACTTCACATTGGGAGCCCTAGATTCAGTAGCAGTTTGTTTTGGCTTAGATTTTTTAAGATAAAAAAGTAAAAGGCTTGATCGCCCTCTAATGGTTCTAAATAAACAACACCATGATGACAAAGGAATTGCTTCATCACTATAACCGAGACTTGTTTCCTGCCCAGAAGTGAATGTACAAATATATACCCGAACCAAACCCAATCAAATAATGTCCTAATAACCAGCTAAAACACTTGTACAGTCAAAATAATATTTTTTTTCCCTTTTCAGTTACATCAACATTTTCCGGATGTCACAAAAAAGCTGATGTACAAATCCAAAACTCTGTAAATAACACAAAAACAAGATATAAAACGAGATAAGGGAGAGTCAGAGACAAAAGTTCAGAAGGGATAACATTTTTATTTATTTTTTTAAGCTGACAGAAACTGGCAGCTATGTCATGACCACCATAGGTCAAAGTTGCACATAAATGTCATGAATTTACAAAATGAGAATAAACTGTGATAAAGCATTTTCCAAAATAAATCACATCATAGACCACATGACAACAATGACAGTAGTCATGATGTCACTAACACTACTGTTTTGTTTGTTCTGAAAACATTTTAGCATTTTATTTTTTCCATTCTATTTTTAACTATTATTTATCTAAACTAATACACACAAAAGATACCAACATGTGCAACTTCTTCATAACTTAAAGGGATAGCTCACACAAAAAAGAAAATCCTGTCATCATTTAATCAACCTCATGACAATCCAAACCTGTATGACTTTCTTCTGTGGAACGACTTCCTTCAAAATAACTTCCTTTTTGTTCCACAGAAGAAAAGACAAGAAAAGAGGTAAGTAAATGATGACAGTTTTCATTTTCTGGTGAACTATCTCTTTAAACAAACCATCTGGCATTTAAAAAAAAGCAAACATTAGGGAAATCATTTATCATCTCTATTAATTACTCTTATAGAGCAAATTAAATTTCCAGGGTGCATGGCATGTCACAAAAAAAAAAAAAGACAGATGACAGTATAGTATGGAGGACAGAGGAAGAGGACAGCCATTGATAAAGTCAGAAGTTGTGTGCTGATGAGATGAACTCATTTCTGATGCAACTGTGTAGCTTTAAACTTAGACATCCTCTTGGGTGGCTCCTGAGGAGCTTCGGGGCCCACCTCCTCCAGCTTTCTCTCAGGGATTGTGGGTAAGGCAGGAGGAGCGATGGTTAGGTGTGGGATAGAGCAAGGCAGGGGATCCTTTTCAATCACTGTGCCTGTAAAAGCCTAAAACACAAAAGACATTTAAATATTTAATGAGAATAGTGTTATCTGACAAAGACAAACAAATATTACATTTAATATAAATTCTGGACTGAGAAGGAAATAAAAAATACTTTCAGACCCAGTTTATATTATTAGGTGGCCTTAACAAATATGTACTTGCAACAATGTACAATGTACTTATTATGTTCATATTGTATTGCAAAACACTTTTGGTGCTATTGAGGTGGGATACGGGTAAGGTTTAGGACAGGTTTGGTGGTATGGGTAGGTTTAAGGGTGGGTTAAGGTGTAAGGGATGTGTCAACAGTGTACAGATGTAATTACATGCAGGTATTTTAAAAATACAAGTACAATGTAAAAACATGTACGTACACAACAAGTGCATTGTATCAAATGATTAATTTAAAATGTAAGTACATAGTAGTTAACAGTAACACCACCTAATATAAAGTACTTTCTCTGCCACAAGATATAAACGATGAAAGTTTACAGTTTTTAAAGAAAATTTGTTTTTTTAAAAATCACACTGCACTACGGGTTGAACACATAATTCACAGTAAGATCAATATCATGCAATTAGAACATGGACTGGGTAAATTTCCATTTCATGTTGACTTTAACCAACAGCAGTTAGTCTTCTGTACCTCAAAGCGTCCATTAGTGCGGGGGCTCGTTCCAGTGGGGCTTTCCTCCTCTGTAATGCCATCGCTGGTATCACTGTGTGTGGCGTCATCATGGCTCCACGAGCGTCCAAAAGCAGCACGGCGCTCTTCGAAGTCAGCTGTGCTGCTCTCGCTGGTGTCACTGCACATGCTGTTCTCGCGGCTGCGGGACTTCAAAATGGACTTGCGTGGTATTGGCTCTCCATTCACTAAGTCCACAAACACCCTGCAAACAAACACTGTGTTGAAACTGAACCGGTATAAACAAACAAACAGTGTAATACATCAATAAAAGTAGATGAATGATGTCTCCCATTAGGCTGTCACCTATAAATGTCTGCTGGGCTTGTGATCTTGTAACTTTCATGAGGAGAATGGCCGTTGCTTTTGCCACTTTTCTTTTTCCGCTTGGCTTGCGCCTTTTGTTCATTTCTTTCACTGAATTTTAGAGTGGTGTTCTTGCCTGTATTTATCCTGACCTTCACAGGAAAAAGGGAAGATAGAAAGAAAGAATTATGCAAACCTTTTTATTTTCAAGACAGACAGGACAAAGTAATAAATAAAATGTTAATATATACTACCGTTCAAAAGTCTGGGGTTGGTAATTTTTTTTTGTGTTTTTGAAACAAGCCTCTTAGGTTTACCAAGGCTGATAAAAAATGTTTTTCATCAAAAATACAGTAAAAACAGTAATATTGTGAAATGTCATTACAATTTAAAATAATTCTATTCTCCTTTCTTATTTTTAAAAATGAAATTTATCCCTGTAATAACAACACTGAATTTTCAGCAGTCATTACTCCCAAGAAACATTTCTTATCATTAATGTTAACAGTTGCGCTGCTTAATATTTTTGTGTAAAACGATACATTTTTTAGGATTCTTTAATGAATAAACAAAATTCAAAAGAGCAGCATTTATTTGAAATATACATCTTTTATAACATTATCTAAGAATGTTATGTAGCACTCGACTGACCTTTTTGAATTCTGCAGTATGAGAAAAGTAGATAGTTGGAAGACCATTGCCTGCTTCCTCATCACAATCTTCCTCCTCCTCATCCTCAGGGTGCGAGCCATTAGTGCCGTTCATCTGACTTGTGATAGATGTCGGTAACCAGCCATTTTCCTTCTGATGGCCATTAACCTGGACATCGCTGCCACCATCTGCTTCCTTCTCTTCCTCTGAGGAGGAAGTGGTGTCTTCTCCATTAGTGTCTGTGCTGTCCAATCTAGTATAACTGGAGAAAAAATAGACCAAATCTATAAGCATACTATTAGGGTCAATATCACTGTAGGGTGCCTTTTGGTGTCCTGTACATAACTCATTTGCCATGATAACATAACATAAAAATGACTATGAAAGGGTGTGTTATATTAGGCTAAGTTTTTATATTCATAACAAAAGCATTACTTGGCTCTTTAGATACATTTTCTAGATTTTTTTTAGTTTTGTGTAAGAGGATGCATGTTATTTTGCTATGTCCCATGCACTGCTCATTAAATTTGAATGATAGTAGAATATTGTCAAATCATAAAATTTAAACATTTTGTTCTCCTATTAATATTTTGTTAAATAAGAGATTACTCAATTTGAGTTGATTTGGTCATTTGGTAATAAAAACAATATTTTTATTTAATAAAAAATAGTTTGTCCATGTCCCTTGAATGGTTGTCCACCCTGTCGTATTGGAGAATCCACCCCTTTAAAAAAAGGCCATCGCCTTTAGTGACATCAGGACAACAGATTTTTTTTGTCTCTTCAGTGGCGGGAATTTCAACAGCTGAGGTGAATAAGTTGGTGACTATTTGACTGACAAATTTTCTTTCATCTGAGTTTGCTTACTTGCTTTGCCAAAGCTTAATATGTCCACCCTGTCGACATAAAATATGCCAAAGTGATTAGAATACAGTATTTTCAAATTATGTAAGTTTAAATATATCAAATTCTCTTCAACAACCAGACTAACCATTTAGCTAGTCACAGTTTTTTGTAAGCTAATATGCTAATTGAGGCTCAAAATGTCCACCCTGTCTTTGTTCCTAAATGTCCACCTTGTCTGCCACTTAGACTCGATAGGGTGGACATACACATGACAGGGTGGACATAGCATTCATTTGCAGTTAATATTGCTAAAAACTAAAATGAATGGGGAGGGGTATATCAATGTGATTGAGGATGTAATTATATTATTTATTATTATTATTATATATATTTTTTTAGAAGTTGAATAAATATATCATTGTCCTATTTTGTCATGATTTGCGTGTTCTGCATTATGTGTCCACCCCGTCAAGTGCTGGTCCACCCTGTCATCTTGATATTTTACAATAATATTTTAAATAATAATTCAATCATATCTATATAATCCAGTGTGTTCAATAGCTAGGTGTGGGGGCAATAACATGCAAAGAAAAAAATGTATCCAAATACCACAGTTTTCTCCAAATAAGAAAAAATACATGTCTGAATTGTATGAGTTTCTTTAAAAACACATGGTTTACATAAATTCTTTTATGTATTTATGATTTGAAAGCAAACAAATAACCCCGTTTAGGAAAGGGACATCATACCTTTCAGAAAATATAATTTGCATCTTAATTTTGCAATGAAAACGTATTTAACAGTAATATATATATCCATGACAGGGTGGACATATCTTATGGTTTATGCTTCGAATAATGGCTCACAATTATCTAAAAAAAAATGTGTGGGAGCTCAGCTAATATGTTTCTATAGTACTTGACTATAGAGTCATAGTCTATAGTACTTTACTATTTATGACATGACATAAAGCGAATGGGAAATTAAAACCAACATTTTTGAGTATTGTGAGGGTTGAAAGGCACTCTATGGTGATATAGATAAGATTACTGGGCATTTCTTTTAAGAAAAGTATATAATTGGGTTATCTGGGGTTGATCTCCATTTTAATGCTATGCACCAATACTTTATTGTAAACACTGGAGGAAGTTGGAGGTTGGTAAAATTTGTTACTGTTTTTGAAAGAAGTCTCTTATGCTCACCTAGGCTGCATTTACTTGATTTAAAAATACAGTAAAACCAGTAAAAGTGTGACATATTATTATATTGACATATAATTGAAAATAACAGTTTTCTATTTTAACGTATTTTAAAATGTAATTTATTCCTGTCATGGTAAAGTTGAATTATCAGCACCCATTACTTCAGTGTCACATGATCCTTCACAAATCATTCTAATATGCTGATTTGGTGATCAAGATACATTTCTTATGATTATCAAAGTTAAAAACAGTTGTGCTGCTTAATATTTTAGTGGAAATTCAATATTTTACCGGTATCTTTCATCTTGAAGTTCCTCCTGACGTTCTAGTTCATCAAGGCGAGCCCACAGCTCCTCCTCTGACAGCACCCCTGTCGTTCTCTCGTCATCGCCTTCTTTCTTCTCCTTGTCCTCTTCCAACTCCAACAAATACACCTGCTTAGGTTTAGAGTTGGCTTTGTGGGCCAAACGATGTTTTCCTGTGAAAGCACAATAGACGGTAAATGATCAACAGAAGATAAAACAACCCGATAACACACAAGTTAATCTGAAAAACTAGACCAGACTAACCTTTGGTAACTTCTTCCTCATTTATAACTTCTTCTCTAATGTCTACAAAATCTCCAGTATCCTGTTTAAAAAAAAGAGTGGACGTGATTGTTTCTTCTAGAGGAGAAAACCTCAGTATAAGGTTTCCATATAATGTCACACAGTAACGAGGTCATGGTTAGGACACTTACACCAGTCAATTTTTCAAGATCATCTGTAAAGTCGGCTCTGTTCTGAAAGTTCTTCATCACTTTCTGTAAGTCATCTAGCGTATTTTTGACATCTGGAAAAATAACATCAGGTCAAGCTGTATGGATTTTTCAAAACTGGTCAATGGAAAATCTTAATAGAATAAAAATGAACTCACGTTTCTTTCTGTGTTCCACAAGAGCATCAGCTTGTTTGGCAGAACACTTTGCAAACCAGTTATCCCCGAGGAGCACCGTTAACTCATTAGTGTGAACTAGCTTTCCCGGCATGAAAGCCAAGGGACCAAATGGTACCTATCATGTTAAAAAAACATCCAAACAATCAGGGCTTAAAGTAACAGTGACACTTTCACTTTCTTCATTTTCAAATCTGACAAGTAAAGGCCTGCTCACACCAAGAATGATAACTATAATGGTACCAAATCAACATGCATTATAAGCGCACACTGCAATTATGCTGCCTGTCACTTTAAATGCTCAAGCTCTGATTGGCTGTTAATATTTTTATTGTTCATCAGCCAGAAACAATTGCTCAAAGTGATTCCAACTATATTGTTCCTCTATGTCACTATCATTATAGTCGTGGTGTGAACTTTCCTATTCTCATAGAATAACAATGATTATTAAAACTTTATGGTTACAGTTATCATCCTTGATGTAAACAGGTCTCAAAACAGGCTAAAATGGTGTGAATAATACTCTGATGATAATTTAATATTTTGTTGCGCAGGCATAGAAAATGTTTGTGTATCTAGATGTGAAGATTAATTTGGGTGCGTCAGTAATTGAAAAGTGCCACCATACCATAATATCATAAGACAACTTGTCAGGCAAAGTCCTGAGGCGCTCTTGAAGAGATTCATAGTCATTTTCCACTTTTTTCCTGACAGTCAGAGAGAACAATTAATCACTTAAAAGGAAATTGTTGGTTTGTTGACATACAAGTTCTATTTTTGTTCTACCTACTGACAATTTTTTAAAATAGGAAAAGGAATATAACAAAAGCCTGTCAAATCTTGTCATAACCATCAACATCTATACGGTGATTCACAATAGCATTTCCATTCCAAATTAAAACCTTCAACAACCAATAAATAACCAATGACAAGCTAACATGCATCAATGAATAGTCACAGCCTGAGAAACACTGACATGACACATTGATAATAACGGTATGCATGTCTGAAACGAGACATGTTAAATTGCACGAGGACACCCACCAGTGCTCAATTTGACTTCTGCAATCTTTCACCACCTGTTGTGGAAACAGACACAATTTGTAATTTCATAACCGCTGAGATTCCCAAAATGCCACAGACAACCAGTGACAATCGCTGCTAAACTATCTATATTAATCTGGTAATGTGAATTGGCCATTATAGAGAGAATGAACAATAGTCCTGAACATTTTTCAAGAGATATTGAGACAAGGTACCCTGTAATGCATGTTTATGGCAATGTCTATGTCAATAAAAGTCTGTAGACTAAGCTAATAAGTCCTATTGCACAAAATTAAACCCTTTTTAGGTACATTAGGATTATTTGCACTTATTCATTTCATAATAATTGCCCTATTATTATACCTTATATACCCTTGAGGTTTTTTTTGGAGCTCTCTTTTATCTCTCATGGCCATTATTAAAAATGATTTTTTTTATTTTAATTACAGCAATAAGAAATAAATTGTTTTGGCATTATGTCAATAAACATTTAAAGGTTAATGTACTTGTATGTCATGAAAATGTCAAAGTTCAAATAATCATAATGCTACTAAAAGTAAGCTTAATTTTCTTTACCCTTAGTCTTTCTTCATGCAAAATATCTATAGAAATATAATTTCTTTCATATTGAGGTGCAACAGGAGCTGGATATGTCCTTTATGAGATTCACCCACCAATAAAACAATATAAAGCATGTCTAACAGCATGAGCAGACATGCATTATGTGTTTTTTCTTTTTCTCTCTCTACGAAAAGACGTGTTGCTGAGGGCAGTGCTACACAGAACTGTCCAGATCTTCTAAATAAAAATCTTCCAGTCTTGTTGATTTTAAATGAAGCAGCACAAATGCAGCTTTCATATGTGGCCAGCTGAGGTTTATCCTCCAATGTCAACACATAGGTAAAAGACGCTGTTTGTTTGCCTTTCACCAACTCCTATCACTCAAAATACCATGCAAATATAAATAAGTCAGTAACCCTTACCTTCACAGAGTCATTTCACAGCATGTAAATTACCTACTGTAACAACAGTACTGTAAGCTTTTGCTTGCTGTATGCATTTTGGCAGCGTGGACAACATGTGCTGGAACAAAGATTGTTTTCTAGCTACTATACATGAATAATTTACTGTTATAATTACTGAGATACATTGCCTATAAATATGTACGTGCATTTTATTGCAAAGTATCAGAAACACACATACACCAAAGCAAAATAACTGTTTGCAACCAGCTAGCCAACAGCAACACGTGATACACAAAGAACTTTCCAGAGAACGAAACGCGTAATACTGCGATTATCCTGCAAAAACAACATAAACGATAAATCGATGCTGATGGTTGATCACGTGCATGGACATTAAGCTTTGATATCTGCAGGAATGCATTGGTGGTATATGAAATAAACGTTACTCCTGTCCTGACCTTTCTGTGCTCCTCTTTTAACCTCTCAACGCCTTGGGGCAGATCTTTACTCCGTTTGACTTTTCCAGCTGCAGCCATTTGGTCGTGCACGGATGCCATCCACAATAAAAAAATGGCTTTTTTGTTTAAATATCCACACACTGAATGCTCAGGGGTTTGAAGTCCTATAGAAATGTTTATGAATGCAATTGGACGTGTTGCACTCAATCTGTCGCCTCGTAGTCATCAATGAAGCAGAACAAGTGGCCCAGTATATCGAGATTGAGACCATTTCACACGTGCATGGTACGATGTCGAAGTTATCCCAAAATTCCCTCTTGTTTACAGTCCACCGAGGGCCTGTTTCCCCTGCGCCATGTTCATCTAATCACGGATGTAGTACGTACTCTGGATATCTCTCTCCCTACTACAACGATGCAAACACGTGACCACCTCCTATTTAATTTCACTTTCGTTTATGAATAACAAATACAAATTTTAAGAGAAAATACATTTCCTAAACCATACGTAGACTAAAAATAACTGTCAGCATAGAATTGTATAAATAAGACAACGCCTACTGTTATCCTCCTGCCATAATGAAACATGAGTAATTACTTATGAGGAAAAAATATTTTCATTAATGTTAATGGCAATATTTGTTTAATCGAAAACGTAGATCGTTGATTAATTCCTTTATATGACCGGAGGAGTGTCCTTTTAACGTACTTGTAAACAATCCTCACGCTGACTATATCACGTGACTTAGAACGAAACAGGAAGTTGTAAACGTTGAGGAAAAATGTAACTAAAATAAAATACTTCGATTGCATTTTTTGTCAGTGTTTCAGTTTGGACCGTTTCAAGATATGAATGATCTAGGTGTCTCATCTCAGCTGCTTTATAATATACCTCATTATAATTATATAATTCCACAATTTTATTTTCACCCGGATACTTTTATTTTAAAGAAAAGACAAACTGTCGTCGGTGTCAGTCACGTTTTCCGGAATGGTCTGTTCTCACATTGAAATGCTTCTAACTGCTTAAAGACATTTGCACGTGAAATTCTAATTATTTATTATCATAAGGAATTATTAGAGTGCTGGTGAGTACTGACACTTGCTCATAAAAATGACTGAGTACTTTTTTGTTTGTTAAAATCATTGTTTTCTCATGTCATTGGAAAAATGTTAATATCAATAAATATATAACTTAGAGCTAACATTTGATCATTCCTTCTATCTAGCTACTTTTTAAAAATGCATTACTGCTTATGTATTTGTAAATTTAAATGTGCATTCAGCTTAAGTCAAGATAAAACTTGACTTTTTCACTAGTTGGCATACATGTTTATTGCATTAATTATTTTGTATTTGGTGACATTTTTTTCCCCCAGGTGACGAGAGAAGCTTTTCAGTCAGTCATGTTCAGGCACTGCAGGACATTTTCACATTGTGTCTTAAAAAGTCAGACAAATTATGTACTTTCAAAACCAGTTAGGATTCTTTTGCCCTGGTCACCATTCACGTATACCGCATCCCCACGTACTCATTCTACCAACATCAAGATGCGCTCCTACTTACAGTACATGAAAAGGAAAGTCAAAGGTGCACCAGCTCCTCCATACAATCATGTGTGTCAGGTTGGAGATCCTGTGTTACGTTCACAGGCTGCGGCGGTGGAACCCGGAGCCATTCAGGACCCAGAAGTGCAGAAAGTCATAAAGACCCTAGTCAAGGTGATGAGGAAGCTTGAGTGTGTCGGCCTGAGCGCACCCCAGATTGGTGTTCCTCTACAAATACTAGCCTTGGAGTATCCAAAGAAAATGCTGGAGGACAGTTCAATCACTTCTGTTGAAGCTCGGGGTCTGGTGGCAGTGCCTCTTATGATTTTTGTAAACCCACAGTTACGTGTACTAGATGGACGCACTGTCATCTTCCAAGAGGCCTGTGAGAGCATCTGTGGGTTTTCAGGATCTGTTCCACGCTACGTGTCTGTAGAAGTCTCAGGTAAAAGTGCAATAAAATGTTAAACCCCCCAAAAAAAGTAATAAAATAAGATGACTCAACATGTATTAAGTAACCCATACCTTGACTTAAAACCATTGCGGATTTACTTCCTGATGTTCTTAAAGTATCAAATCAAAACAAATGTTTTTCTTCTTTGCAAAGGTCTTAATGAGAAAGCGGAGCCTTTCAGCTGGCAAGCGAGTGGATGGCCAGCCAGAATACTGCAGCATGAAATGGATCATCTTAATGGAGTGTTATATATCGATCGCATGGACAGTAAAACCTTCATCAATGTAAAATGGGAAGAGTATAATGAATAAAGCTTTGGGAACTTCATTACAACCTTACCTTTGGAACTCAGAGAAAATGGATGTTCTTGTCACTCCTGTGTTATCTAAAACAAGCATTTAATCACATTTCACACCCAGAAATGATTTATCAAATTGGGCATTTACAAGCAAGCTAGATTAGACTTTGCCTTTGCAGATAGCATATGGAAATAACAACAACTTCATCTGCAATAGTAGGACATTTTTTGTAATATAGGGTGACTGTATGTCCTCTTTTTTTCTAAACTGTTTAAACTGTCCAGGTTTTGGCTTTGTTTTCCTATTGTTTTCATACTTTCTGATGGTAACTATTGAAAAGTATTCTGACCATTAGTGTGCAGGCATTGTACATAATTGACCAATCATGGCACGCAAGAAAGGTGGGATCTACAGAGAACAGTCAAAGCAATGCAAATACATGTACATATGTACCGTAGAGAGCACATCAATAGGAGAAGAAAGCCAAAACCTTGTCATTTTAGGCAGTTTAGAAGGACATATAAATATGAGAGTACATATGGTCACTATATGTAATAGTAATATTTAGAATTTCATTTGAATTAAGCACCAGCAGAGTTTTCTTTTAGATCCTTTATTTTTATATGAATTCCATTAAAGAAAATCATAATACCAGACATGTACATTATATTTAATAATTATATGGCAGTATATCACTCTAAACCACAGTGATTGGTTGGAGTTGTTGCTAAGACCCAAAGCCATAATTTTCCAGAACACATCATACCAATAACTGAATACATCAAAAATTGGAGTGACCATCACACAATCTCACCAATAACAGACAGTTACAAGCCATGTTACTGTATGACATATAGATTAGTAAGAGATAGTCAACTCTACAGTGAACTTTGTTACTTTCTTGTAATATTTGGCTCTTAATATCATATAAAGACATTGCTGATATCAAAAATCAAAAGTGTAACAGATTGTCATAGATTGTCATCTATTACCCAGTATTTCAGACTTATTGTGCAATTAGCAAAATGACAGGCTTAATTTGGAGATTAAAAACAGTGTCTTCAACCAGACATGGTCAACACTGACAGTTGTTTTTAAACAGAGGAAGGTCTGAGGAAAGCCTTTCCACACCTACACATCAAGGTATATTTATAGCAACACAGAGTGCAATACACGTCACCACAATACCTGCATACCTGCAAGGTGCTAAGGTCAAGACTGAAGCAAGTGACACAGTATGTTTTAACATTTTGTATGTTGTGTTTTTGAGAGCAGTGTTGTCGATCAGGACACCCAGAGAAATGAAAGACTTTACAAGTGAGGCATACAGTTTCAGGCAAAGTTTGGTCACCCTTCCAGCAATAATCGTGATATGGTATTGGTCTTTCTGTATCACCCGTTTCCTGGGAGTACTGCTTATGATGTGCAGCAGAAAGACATTTGTGCCTCTTTTGGGCATTCGCTTGTTCTCCTTGAGGGGGTTGTAATTTTCCTGTTGGTTGCACGTTGTGTTGTGCTAAATTGCACATTTGAATACTATTACAGTTGTGGTCATGGATCACCTGGCACTCATAGCACACCAAAAATGAATCAGAAGTAGAACCATCCATACAATAATGTGTTTTCAGGGAATCTTTTGATTTTTCCTTGGCCAATCTAATCTGGTCTTGTGTTGAATAAAGCTCTTCAGCTTTGTCTGAGCATAGTGCTAAAGTATGTCCTTTCATTTTGCACTCTCTATAACGAGAACACGATGAACTGTGCATGTCTTTGCAGTTCTCACACTCGTAAATATATAACTGATCTGGAGTGATACACTTGCACAACAATTTTGCTGCTGCTTGTCTCTGGGCATCACCTTCAATTTGATCTTCAGCAAAGCTTTCCATTGGACCTGGATTGATGAGTGATTTTCCCTGCCTTGCATCCTCATTATTCCCCATGTTTGACTGTGAGGGCTCTCTCTGTAAAGTCTTGCTTAAAGGCTTCTCTTTTGGTTGCATATAAGAAGAGTCAGGTGGCGAATCAGAAATGGACATCATGTGAGAAGCATCTGCCTGCTCTGTGTACAGATCCAGCTCAGCGTCCATGCCACCAGTCATGATGGCGTCTGAAACACTAGCAGCATCTGACTTTCTCTTGGTGTTCTCTAATGCTATCTGAAGACTGTGGCCTACCTGCCTCTCCTTGACTAGCTGTAGAACCCACTCCACACCTTTGTCCACAGAGCCCAAAGCCGAAAGTAGCAGCTCGCATTCCATCCGAGCAGTGAAGAAGCCACATGCAAGACTGAGTAAAAAATCAGCAGGAACTAGTTTGGAGTTCAGCGCCAACTCTTCTTCTTCATTAGGACTTGAAGCTTGGTATCCAAGCAAACCAAACAGCTCTTTAGCCTGCTGAAGTGTCAGTGCAGGTTTGATCAAATGGGTGAACATACTTGAAAACATCTGGTGAGGAGAAAGAGACTATTTTAAGGTAGTGAAAACAAACAAAATGTCATTAAAACCAATAGAAATCTGTAGGTGGAGAACCAGTATTTCCACATACCTTCACCAGTCTGTACTCTCTTCTCCAGGGGTAGATGTAGAGGTTTAATGCCGCGAGCTCCAACACTTCAAAGGCCTTGGAAACTTTCTCAAGCCCCATTTGGCCAGTTTTAGAGGGAAATGCATGGAGAGATTTTTCCATCACTGCCAGTGAATCTAATCCATGTAGATTGTGCATCTTCTGGGCATTGCCATTGTGAAGGAGCGTCTCAACTTCCTTACAAAAATCCTCATCCCTGCATATCAGACTTCGATCCCCCTTCTCAATTCGTCTCTCCAAGTTAGTCTGGTACCTATTGATGAGACCATCCGCTGTCTTTTTATGAGCAGAATTCATCCTAGTAGAAGCAATATTGTAAGTTTATTTATTGACAAACAAATTATTAACTTACAAGAGATATACATAAACAAGCAAGTTTCTATTTTGCATTACGTCATTAACGTGGATAGTCGAGTAAAGAGAACTAAAAACTATATGAAAATGTCATCTAGAGATGATATATCCATATCAAATTCAATTCAATCTGACTAGTAATTGAATATATGTGGAAATTTAGACTATTAAAAACCATCTATAATGCTACTTATAAATCAACAAAGTGAAAGTGATCTTCCAAGATCGAAAGCACAGTTCCGTCAGATTATCTAAAACCACCGTCTTACAAAATTCTGTAGTTATTAAATATAATATTTAATGTACAGCACATTGTTGAACAATAAATAACATAAACTACGCAAAATGTTTAAAGACTGTGTATCTTGTGCCTTTCCCAAGCAAAACCACCGCGACTGATATATTTTCCCAACTGACTCATTAAATTTAAATCAACAAAGCTCTTGACACACTTACGCCGTTCACTTTAGACTGCAACGAATTAACTAAATAAACGAAATTTGTTACCTGATCAACGTTCAACGTCCAACACAGACTGCTTTGCTTTGAAGAACGTCGCTGTTTCCCAGTGGAGAAACTTTTTTGACATCACTTCCGTATTCGGCTCACGTGAAGATTTTTAGGGTGGCAATGTCGTCAAACTTTATAAACTTAACAAGTAAATAAAAAAAGTAAAGAGTATAAAAATAAATAAAATTAAAAGTAATTGAATAAAATCGGTAAAAAAAATTGTTTCATATATGAAAAGTATTCCATATCAATTTTGAGATCAATATTCCTTATTCCAAGTCTAATAAACAGAGATTTCTCTCATTTTGTGAAAAATATAATTTATACAAATTTATTCGTAGTTTATACCACTCTCAATGTGCAGTTTGCAATGGTTGCTCAATTTAGTGTATATGCCAGTGATAGTTCACAAGAGGGCGCTGTAATATATGATAGAAACTGTTGGTAATATCAGTTCTGACCATAGACTGTATAAAAACGGTTCTGACCCTGGTATCAAACTTAATTATTAGAACCATTTCTACTGGCAAGATGATATTACTGTTATTTATTACAGTATAAGGATTTTTTCAGTTCAACATTTATAATTTTCCTGTAAAATAGTTTCTTTGAAACTGTAATTTATTTGTGATAAAGAATAAAGGAATGCATAATTAGGTGGGCGTGTCATTTTGAAAGGGGCGTGGCGTTCTTGCTGCGGTTCGATTTAAAGATCTTGAGCAGCAGGAGACATGAAGCCCATAAAGCATAATCAATCTCAGACGTGTGCACTGCTGCAGCGGTTGTGTGCGCGATGTCAAACGGGGACAGGGTGGTTTTAGCGCTCGGTGGAGCAGGAACTGTCGGCTCCGGGATAGTGAAAGCTCTCCTGGACAGAGGTAAGAGCATATTAAGTATTTACACTTAATATATATAATAGTAAGCATTATTTTTATTTTAAAGAAAATTGAAATATTATTTATAATTATTTATAGCAACAGTAACTAATTATTATTAGTAGGCTATTATTATTATTATTATTAAGCAAATTAGAAAATGCCCCCAACTGCCCAGCTCTGATTTTTCTAAACATATTGCTTAAAATTTTATTTATAAGTTTAAAATGAGATTCAGTGCAGTTATGATTAGGAAAACAATTATATAGCCACTACTATTAGATTTTTTGTTTAAATTCAGATCTCAATTTTGATTCCGTAATTTAATTCTAAATTGATTAAACTTTTTCTTTCTTTAACTTTAAATGAAAAAAATACATTTCTTTGCATAAATGTATTTTTTTGAAAGTTCTGCATTGCATGTGTGGTAATTATGCAAACACATATTTAGGTTTCAAGGTTGCAGTGATCTCCAGAGACAGCAGCAAGTTGGAAAAACTCAAGGACTTTGTTTCACCTAGCACAAAAAGTAACCTGACCACTTTAGTGGGGAATGTTGGTATGTATCTTTTGCATGTTTTTTTTAAAAATCTTTTATCTTTGCAACTCTAGACATTTTGCGGTCTCATTGATTTTGGATTGTTTGTGACTGATGGAATATTCTCCTAATCTATCAGGCTCAGAAGAAGGAGTAGAGGAGGTGAAACAGGCCTTGCTCAAGTCTGTGGGTAAGATCACAGATGTGGTGTCCTCTCTGGGCTTCAGCTGGTGGCAGGGAGGTCCACCTCACACCCAACCCCTTAAAGAACTGCACTGGGTGAGAGAGCAGCTTCTACCCTTGCAACCCCTCATTGATCCCTTTCAGCGATTCTTTATACTTGCTTATATGACGCACAACATTTCACCATCGCCATTTTGCGTTAGAACTCAGCTTTCATTCTTGGGTCGGCTTCTCCAAATGATCCATCATCATTTGATTGCTCAAAACTCTTCGTCTCTGATCAACAGGTTATTGAGACTCTGCTTTTCAGCACCTTTGTGTCTTGGAAAGCGTTTTTTCCCCTGGTGAGAGATGATCCTAACTGCACCTACACGTTTATCACAGGTACATCATTATTTGCCCTCCAAAACATATATTTGGTTAAAGTTATGTAGTTATATGTGGAAAATAATTGTGAGTGCAGTGTATAAATGAGCATTAAAAAATCTGCTTGAGTCCACATTCATCACTCGGCAAATTCAGAACACAAATCAATAAAACAAAATCAATGGTCAGATAGGTGGTTACATTTTTAGGAACGGCAACAATGCATATACTCTTAAAAATAAAGGTTCTTTATGGTTCCATGGAGAACATTTACCATTCATGGAACCCTTCTATTGCACAACAGGTTTGTTATAGTGGAAAAAGTTTAGTCAGGTTATTAAAATGATCTTTACACTAAGTTTCTTTTGAGAGCTGGTTGCCATCACTGCAAAAATAAATAAATAAAATAAAAATAAAAAAAATGAAAGAAAGAAAGAGTAAAAACTTTTGGAACCTGAAGAACATTTATCCTCCATGATGGAACCTTTCCAATTGACAAAATTATTTATTTAGTAGAAAAGGGTTTGTCTGGTTAAGACCTGTGGAAATAAATCGAAGAAAATGGAACATACATATGTGACCCTGAACCACAAAACCAGTCATAAGGGTCAATTTTTTGAAATTAAGATTTATACATCATATAACAGCTGAATAAATAAGCTTTCCATTGATGCATGGTTTGTTAGGACAATATTTGGCTGAGATACAACTATTTGAAAATCTGGAATCTGAGGGTGCAAAAAAAAAAAAAAATAATAATAATTATAAGTTGTGTGTATTTAGAATGCACGAAACAATAGCTATGAAATTAACCTTC